TAACACGTTTATTTTAAAGTTCTTCGTGCCTTACACTTTAGCCTTTAACTCATTTCTAGTCACGGGAGTCTCGCTTTGGCCTGAATGCTTGAACCACACACCTATTTCACTTAAAAGGCAATGCCTGGATTAGGCTTTGTTCTTTTGTTCTTCATGAATTTTATTGCAGTGTTTAATTTGCTGCCATAGAAGTTGTTTTCAAACACGAATCCGCCAGTGTCCGGTCTCTGCTTAAAAAACTGCAGTGGCCTCATGTAACTTACAGGATGAAGGCTACATTCTTTGGCATGGCACTTGAAATGTCACAATCTGGCCCTCCTGCCTTTCCAGGGTCACCTCCACCTTTGCTGTGATAAATTCTTAGGACATGGGAGATCAAGGGATGGGAGGGGAGCCTCTCAAAGGGCTACTGTTATGCACAGTAGGATGGTATTGAAGGGAATCCTGGTCACAATTACACACAAGTGAATCCTATTAGTATCTTCTCCCACCTTCTAGAGCCAGACCCATGCAGGGAAAGGTGGTTCATAGGAGTTACATTGAGTATCAAATAACATATAACCCCTCACCCCCAAATAAGAATCTGTTCTTCACCCCTGGACTCTGTCTTATTTCCTATGACCCAGGGCCTCTTGTGGGATGTTTGCAGTAGGCGTTGGCCTCCTGCTGACCTTAATTAGCTAGGCGTTTTTCCAGACCACTGCAGAGGCAGCTCTCCTCTCAGCTGTAGCGTATAGTTCTTCACCCCATTACAAGTAGCACAACGACAGCCATTCAAGTGTGGTCCGATGCATACTCTATGAAAGCCAGATCTTAATCTCATCCTATTCCTCTTCATTAGCAGATTAAAACCCCAAAATTCATGCCATCGAGTCAATGCCAAATCAGAGCAAACCTATTGGACAGGGTTGAACTGCTTCTGTGTGTTCCAAGACTAACTCTTCACAGGAGTAGAGAACCCTGTCTTTGTCCCTCTGGGCTGTTGGTGGTTTTGAACAGCTGACCTTGTGGATTGTAGCCCATCACATAATCACTGCCGCACCAGGGCTGCATCGTTAGCAGTTAATGCCTTCCAAAATTGGCACTAGAGCCATAGGTGTATGAAATCCAGAATTACATCACAAGAGATCCTGGCAGGAAGGACCATATTAATTGAGTATCATCCCATATTTTGCAAAACATGATATGGAAAGATTTGACGATTCTCATTTTTCCCCCTTTATAACACAGGTCAAAGAAATCCAGGAAGAATTGGATAAATTGAGTCCACATAAAATTAAGCACACTAAGAAGGTACGTAAGTTCTGATTGGAACTTTTTACGGGTTTCGTGCCCGATGTTGGTGTTCTTTGTGGGTTTTTTGCATTCTTACTCTTTTTTTTTTTTAATCATTTTATGGGGGGCTCATACAACTCATCACAATCCATACATACATCAATTGTGTAAAGCACATTTGTACATTCATTGCCCTCATCATTCTCAAAACATTTA